CAGCCTATGGGGATCTCATTGTTCTGATGGATTCACGTTGGTTTCACTCAGGGTTGGAATGCTGTCGACTAAAAGCCATTATTGCAGCGTGAAGTCGCAAGATAATGATAAGTGCAGGACTTACATATATATGCTGGCTTGTATTAAAGTGATGCCACTCGAGTGAGAAATATTGCTTTGGATTTTCGTTGTAGCAGAAGAGATGACACTGCTTTAAGCTTGCGGTGTTGTGCCTGCGCCATCAAACATCGCATCAATGATGGATTCCATGTGGAGGTAATATTGAAAGGGGTGGCAGTGTGGCCAGGCTCATGGGATTGGCGAGCTGCCATTCATGATTCAGCAATTGCGCCATATAGTTACTGAAGAACGCTCTGTGACATTATTTTTAACTACTTGATCACAGTTGAATGACCACATGTTCAGCGTTCAACGTTCAATGTTGATGCATTGTGCAAGTCCTTTTTGGGGGCATTGATCACGTGGAGACATCGGGCGGCTCGGGCCGAGTTCCGCTGCTTGAACTTGAGCTTGGACTTCAATTCTATTATGCTGTACCTGGCCCTAGGCTACGCAGAGGGACTAGTAGCTTATGTAACTAACGCTGGTAAGTAATATGTGTGGCTTGCCGAACTGGGACCCTCACCTCCCTGCTGGTCCTGTGGAAGTAGAAGCAAAGTAGGAGCCGCTGAGCGAGCTTCCTGGTGTTCTACAAATATGAGGAAAGACCAGATTTTGGTATAATACTACCATGGGGAGCTCCATTGATATATCGAACATATATGAGGAGCTCAACTCCAAGTGAAGTGAACGACTTGGCCAAATCAAAGTTATTTAATTCTTCCAACGAGGAAGTTTAGAAGATAGATTCGAAATGTTCGTTTAGTTCGAAGATGTTCACAACTAATTCAATAAATGACCGTCTTGAACCGTCACTGTCCTCTTTTTTGGCTGATCCAAACAAGGCCATAAAGATAAACAGATAAATCAAGAAAGATAAATGCTGCCCCACCACTTGTTGAACATTCCAAGTTTGTTAGTGAAAAATGAGGGAAGAATGTTCGAGATTCTCGATATTCTCTGAATGAAAACAAAGGTAAAAACTCATGCTATCTCTGTGGTTCTTGAGGCCTTGACTCTGAGTCTGAGGGCAAGCATGCGTGAAACGTGATGAGCAGTGCCGTAGCACAGCCACCTTCGGCTTTTTCCGTGCCACGAGTCCACGACCACGATTCACGAATCACGAGTGCTTGTTCTCTTTTTTGTACACACCTTGGCTCCATATCTCGATATACACGCCCAGGATCGTTTCAGCGCGGAGCGCTGCAAAAGGCACAGCGCCCGCACATCAGCGAGCACCTCGACAAGCCCTTACTAGCCGCAGGCCCTTCAAGAAGTTCCAACGCGTTACGTCCAATGAGTCCGATGCGGACTCCAGCCCCGGGCCATCCTCCCTAGCCTTGGAGTTCCCCAGAGGTAGAAATCCGAGCCAAACTTGTTTGCAAGAAAAGGTCAGATGGCTGAGCGGAAAGGAGGAAAACTTCCTCCTGCCGGCGGAGATGAGTCTTCTCTTTTCTTCACACCCTCTTTCGACACTGCGCTGATAAGATCTACTACTATATTTACCCCGCCGAAAACGCCGAACCCCCCCCCCCCCCCAAACCGCCGCAAAAGCGCCCCGCATAATAGCGTGTTGGGGGGGGGACCCCCAAAGCGACTCTTTTTCTACAAAGTAATATACAATTCGGTTGGTTTTACTTAACTTCGACGGACTCACTAATCTTTAAGCACCTTCACAACGACCTTCTCCCCGCTAACCTTGTTATTCCTGAGCAGATCCAGTCCCGCCGCCACGCGTTGCTCGAACGATCCTTCGTCGAGCAGACGGATGCGGTTCGGCGTGATGATGCCCTTCGCCAGAAGCTCCGGGAGGATCTTGGGCATCAGATTCTCCTTCATGTACGCGTTCTGAGCCCCAAGTCAGCACGACATTGAGCGAGGCAGCGCAGAGCACGCACGTCACGGTACAGGAACGTGCGCACATACGCGATCCGCGTCTCGGGCGCGAACGGGCTGGTGCCCTCGAGGAAGGCGGCGTGCATCGCCGCTGCACCGACCGCGACGGTGTTGCCCTCCTTGATCGGGAGGAGCACGGCGACGGCGCCCGCGGGCGCGAGCAGGCGCGCGACGGTCGCGAGCGTGCTCGTCGTGCTGATGGCGTCCAGCGCGAGCTCGACGGGCCCGCCGATGTCCGCCGCGAGCGTGGGGCTCGCGTAGTCGACGACGCGCGTGGCGCCGAGGGCGCGCAGGTAGGCGTGGTGCTTCGGCGCAGCGGTTGCGACGACGTTCGTATACCCCGCGGCGCGCAGCAGCTGCAGCGCGTACTGCCCCGCTGTCGAGCCCGCGCCGTAGACGAGGATGGGCGGATGGGCAGGGCGAGCTGGTCGAACAGCGTGAAGAACGCGGTGCGGAAGTTGTCGGGGACCGTCGCCGCGGCGTCGAGCGCGATGTTCGCGGGGATCTGTGCAGGTGAGCAAGACTCGAAAGACATTTGGATGCGGCCGCACCTTGGCGCAGAGATGCTCGGGCAGTGCGACGTAGTCCTGCATTGTCCCCTGCAGCGCGTCTTTGCGGCCTTGGCCGTACATGGTGAATGCCGCCACCTGCTCGCCCGTCATCAGCTGCACGCTCTAGGGGAAAATGCACTTACCCGGTCCCCGATCGCGAGTGACACGCCCGTCCCCACCGCGACTACGACGCCCGCAGCATTGAAGCCCAGCGTGACGGGGTACTCCGCGACGAGGAATCCAACGTCCGCAATGTACGTGTCAAACGCAATCATCGACGCGTAGTGCACCTTGATCAAGACGGCCCCCGCGCCCGGGGGGCTTGTCTCGACTTGGATGCTGCCGAACTGGCCCTTGGAGAGGGCAGCAATTGCGGTGTGGCTCGGCATATCTTGAGTAGTGAGCAGCGTCGATTCCTCGCATGTATTCACTGTTGGAATTACGAGTCGGCGCTTACGCGCACACCCCGGATATTGCCCCGCATTTCCCGCCACGTTCCGTGTACCCGCCCGCTTTTCCCGCTTTTACTACTCGCTTATTACGCGAACTCTTGTGTACTTATATTCCGCTCCCGACGAATTTATTCCCCGCGCGTTTGCGAGGGTCTTCTGCTACTTCCCGGGTGATCACGAGACGGTCACTCTAACACAAACGCGCAGCATACTCTCTGGATCTCGACTCGCTCTCTGCTTCGCTGCCATTCTCTGGTTCTTCGTCGACGATCGTTTCCCGGAGTCTTATCGATTCAAGCCCTCACGAGACGAGGCACCGCTGAAAGCCCTCACGAGACGAGGCATTCGAAAGCCCTCACGAGACGAGGCAATATCTGAAGTTTGACTCGACGATTCAATTTTGTCCCCCCCACTATGTCCGACGACTCGGCTGTTCGCTTTACTCGTCTCGGGAATGCCAACTACCCCGAATGGTGCATGCGCATGGAGGCCGTTCTCACGAGGAAAGGATTGTGGAAGTTGGTTGAGATTTTGGTGAGCAAGAGGAAATCTGATGGTCAGGAGAAGACTGTTGCGGAGATGGATGCTGAAAGAGCTACGCTGATCGCCGCTCGAGACGAGGAACAGATGGCGCAGGCTCGAGCGGAATTGATTTTGAGGGTGGAGGATGGACAGCTGGCGCACATGACGGCGCGCGATCCCATGGTCATTTGGCAGAACCTCGAGCGGGTTCACCGCGCGGCCGGATTCGCGACGAGTCTGGCGCTTCGTCGCAAGTTCTTGACGGCGAAGAAGGAGGCAGACGAGACGATGGAAGCTTGGATCGGCCGCATTCAGACGCTCGTCTTGCGGATGGAGCATGCAGGAATCGACGTCACGGAGCAGGATCAAATTCTGGCACTCACGATGGGTCTCCCTTTCTCATACGATGCGGTCATTATTAATTTCGATGCTACCCCACCCGAGCAGCTCAACGTGAACCACGTTATCACTCGCTTGCTCAACGAGGAGACCCGCCAACTTTCTTCCCCCTCTGCCCCGATTACCCCTCCTTCCGACGACGCTATCGACGAGGCTATGGCTGTGCTCGCTGCACGCCGCAGTGCTGCCGATGTCACTTGCTTCTTTTGCGACAAGAAGGGACACTTCAAGTCCGACTGCCCCGACAAGCTCGCTTGGGAGTCTGCGAAGCGCAAGAAGCGCCCTTCTGGAACAGCCGCGCTCGCTATCGGATTGGACTCCGACTGGGAGGATTCAGACGCGCTCTAAACCGGTGCCAAGTTCGCGGGGGTGCGCGATAGTCTGGACTCGCGGGGGTGTGTTGGAATTACGAGTCGGCGCTTACGCGCACACCCCGGATATTGCCCCGCATTTCCCGCCACGTTCCGTGTACCCGCCCGCTTTTCCCGCTTTTACTACTCGCTTATTACGCGAACTCTTGTGTACTTATATTCCGCTCCCGACGAATTTATTCCCCGCGCGTTTGCGAGGGTCTTCTGCTACTTCCCGGGTGATCACGAGACGGTCACTCTAACATTCACTTGTTATAGGCTCTGTTTTTGCAAAGGTAGTAAGCATTGCAACAAGGCTTCCTAAGCCTGAGCGGCTCATGAGTAAGCCATTTGAAAGTGCGGGGATCTTGCGCCGCGTATCCAATTATAGGATGCCCACTTTGCCTTGGAGGTTTCCAGTTTAGTACCGTAGCTTTTTAACCCTGAAGTGGTCGGTCATGACTCTCGCATCGCACACGACTTTTCTGATGGGTGCTTGAATTGAAACAAGGATTTATCTATGTAATTCAGAGTGCAGAGGAAATGGCTCTAATCCTTCCAAGACAACAGAAGAGAAGAAGGATGTTGATGTTCCGTGAAACAAAAGAATCCTGCAGTGCAGGTGAAAGACAGCATTGTGGGGCGGTCCACTCCTGAATTCCTCGCGGAGTGAAATTGAAAGGCTATGCCCCGGACTCCGGCAGCCTAAGTGCCACTCTCGGGGATTTGAACCCCGGACCTTGCAGATGGGTCGGAAGTTTAACCACTAAACTACTGTGTCAGACACTCTGTGAATGCAGTCATACCGACTAAGTAATCCAAGAATACTCAAGTTCTGAACCGGAGAGCCCAAGGTCCAGAGCCGATATCTTTTCTCAATGATCATCCGAGGCACACTGACTTTCAATTGGGCGCTGTTCTAGAGCTTTGGCTTCAAATGAGGTTGAGCCAGATTTGTTAAGCTGGGCGGGGAAACAAAGCAAGTCACCAGCAAGTGATTGGTCGCTGAGCCTCTAGGAGTTTCTAGATCTTGCTCTCCGATACGAGCTGGACACGGAGAAACCCTGGTCAACCTAGTCAACTTACTGTGTTTTTTTCTCGATCCGTTCGACGACCCGTTGAGTGTATTCCAATCAAGATCGTCGTGATCATTACGGCATTGGTGGCAGTGTACCCCGCCAATCAATGTCGCACGAAACGACATGCAGCATCACATGCTGGCTATGGTCTTTGTAGGTCTTGGTAGTATGTACCACGACTTGACCTTGACTTGACTACAACCGCAGTTCATGCGCGCTCTTTTCTTTTCCTATCCCTTGGTGCTCTTTACTCCTTGCCCTGGTAGCTCTGAGTATTCCCCCGGTCCCTTCGCAACTGCGGCACAACTTGTCGCAACCACCAAACCGAACTAAAATCCGCATTGGGCGGCTTGATGTCCAATCAAACATCGCATCATTGATGCCATTGAACTACCCATAAGGAGTAAGATCTTGAGAAGGAATCCTTCGTGTCCCTTGCACTTGGCAGATATGGCGAATAGAATTGACGAGAGCCAGTACAGACCACTAAATAGAAAGTTTTATGTCTCTTGGATTAACATACCTGGCGCCGTTCGAGGTGCAATCAGCCGGATGTATATGGTCAAGTATCCGTTCTTTTATGTCTCTCCTGGAGCTGGCTGGGTGTATTATACATACATCTAAACTCCCAAATCCATGCACTCTTTGGTTCTGGTTTGATTGTAAATAGCTGCAGCGCGCATGGGAGTGAAGGGCGAGCACCACTGGACCTTGAGGCTTGCCAACATCAAGTCCGCAATCTGCCCCGCGCACGAGCGCTAGCCTGCAAGGAGGTGCAGAGCGCGGCGAGCACCTTCAAGCACTGGCGCCCCCCGGGGTGGTGGCTCATCTGGGCACACCGGAGCACCCGTATGTCCGGATAGCGGGTGCGCGCCTACGCTTGTCGAGCGCAAGCAAAGACGGTGATGCACGCGGGAAGCAGCTTGCAAGCACACAGCGCGGATTTGGGCGCCACGCCTTGCACGCGCTCAGTTGAACAGCTCATACCGGGATTATAATCTAGTCCTCCAAGTTGGAAAGCTCAAAGTTTGCACCTTGAGCGCTTTCCCGTCGTCTTCTTCGAGGGCAGCGCTTTTAGTATCCTCATAGGCCGTTCATCAGTGGGTCATTGCCCCCGTTATCAGAACGTTGGGGTCGGCCTAACCCACGCCGAAAGTGAATTCGGATATGATGGTGGGGGTGTCGCACAGCCCATTGAGCAGGGATCTATCACAGAACTTGAACCTTGAAGTTGGAAGCTTGAGCTTGAAGCTTGAAGGAAGCTCCGTTACCGCGGCAAAGGGTTGGTTGCTAGCGCAGCTGCGAGCACCGCCACTCGGCAAATCGCGGGATCGGCAACCCCCGGCGCACGTGGAAAGTTCAACTTTGGTTCAACTATGTACTTGTTAAGGGATTATTAACAAGATATTTGTGAGTGTAATCTATGCTAGGCGAGATCGAGATTGGTGGGTAGGTATTTAGAGTTTACGGCACGGTCCCGCTCAGGAACACCGGTTTCGGGGAGTATCCCGGTGTCCAACAGACATAATGTACACCATAGATTGTCCCCGACCTTTCATATTCAAACAGGCCGAGCTCACACACCCAGTCTCTCATCGCGGTGTAGATCCCAGTCAATAGATAGAGTTAAACTCACAAAGTTGAATCACGAGCCCGGAGACTGAACACGGGCGTAGTATATCAATGGAACTTCATATCTAGCCACGGGAGAAGATTTGATTGGTTGCATCTGGACTAGCTACGCAGAGAGCTTAGGCTACGATAGCTCACAGGTCGTACAAATCTGCGAACGGATCGTAGCTAGCGTTCGTCCACCGAACGTATTCCATCCCATTTGCGGTATTAAGCGCGACGTCCTCCCCGTAGATCTGCGACATGAACCCGAACAGACCGTCAGTGCCAGCGCTCACCCCCGACGTGGTCCAGATATTTCCATCCACCACCCAGCGTGCATGCGTGATCCAGTTGGTCTTAGGACCCCACGCGCTCGTCTCTTTGAATGCCCGCTTGTTCGTCGTCGCATTCTTGCCGTCCAGGACGCCTGCAGCCCAGTTTAGCATGTTTCAGAGGTAAAAAATGGGAATGAAGCACCTGCACGCGCTGCGATTCCCGCGCCGGTGCACACGGTCATGAAGTACTGCAACGACGGGTACGTGTCGCGCACGAAGTCGATGGTGGAGTTCAGGTTGGTCGCCCGGGTACCAGGTCCGCCGGGGACGAGAAGGAAGTCGAGAGGCGGCGCATTCTCGAAGGTGTGCGTCGGGACGATGAACTCGCTGAAGTTGGAGTTCTTCGGGTTGATACGGGGAGTGGTGCCGACGGGGTCCATAGTAGCAGCGATGATCGAGAGGTTCATCGGGTATTTGTAGGCCAACAGATTGAGAGCATCAAGAGGTCCGAAGATGTCGAGCGCTTCGAAGCCAGGGAAAGCAATGACACCGAAATTTACAGGAATGGGGGCTGAGTTGAAAAGTCAGATGATGCGAGAATTACGAGTGGTAATAGGGCTCACAGTCAGCCGCGGCTGCGAGGCCAACGAAACCCGAGGAGAGCAGGAGCAACTTGAGAAGGTCTGTAACACCCATATTGGCTTAGGTCGATGAGTTCGATGAGTTCTATCCTCGTCGTGCTTCCTGACTTTATACTGTTCTCAGTTGTGCAACAATCTCGATACAACAATCAACACACGGGCTTGCAGCGGCGCGGGCCATAGATATTGCCGATTTCTCAATCTCCGGAGTCCGAAGTCAAGAAAAAACTTTTTCGAGTTTTTCACGAGACGGGCTCGAGTGGGCGCCAAGAGCCTGCCGGTATATAGACCTGCCTCAAATAATGCCGACCTTCGTTGTCGAGAACGAACGATGAGTAGAGGATTATGATGGCGGATTCGGCGGATCCGCCGGATCCGCCGGACTACATCCTTAAGGTCCTCAAGGTACCTGAAGGACCTGCAGGAGGCTCAAAGTCCTGGACGATATGCGAGGCCCTTCACGGAAAATGCGATCCTTGACGAAACTATAGAATCCTGTAGGTAAAGAGAAAATCCTTCACGGTAGTACTTGAGCTTGAAGGACAATGTTATTCTTCATGGTACAGGTGATCTTGAAGGTCGCACTCATGTCCTTCACGGTTGCGCTCGTGTCCCTCATGGTACAGGTGATCCTTGAAGGTCGCGCTTGTGTCCTTCACGGTGCAGTCCATCTCAAAGGATGCCATCGTGTCCTACACGGTGCGGGCGATCTTAAGATCTTGTAGGTCGCAATCCGGGCCACTGTCCTTCACGTATCGACGGTGCCTGCACGTGATGATCTACGCTTCACGATCCTTCAAGCAGAACCCCCACGACTCGGACTCTGCTGCCTTCTTGACCTTCTCGAACCCCTTGACCGGTGACCCTCCAAGACATACTTTCGTGACCGTCTGCGCGACCTTATCACTGCCTGCAACCTTCCAAGTACTTATCTCTCACTTCGTTGCACACCAACAAATTTAATGCGACTTTCGGCCTGCGTTCACTGCGTCTATCGAAGATCTCGTTAGTTCAGATTCCCTCCTCAACAAGCTCAGTATACGACCTCTCCCGGTGCAAACAAACTGCACGTGGGATCCCGATCATTACGCCCACGGCTTTCTGGTGTGCAACCATGTCGGCTCCTCGATTCCTCCCAAACATGGACGAGCTGCTGAAACGATACAGCTCCCTAGGTGACAAGAAGCTGCCAAAGAGCTCAGCGACTTCGAAGCCCAAGCCGCAGCCCCGAGCAGGAAGAAAAAAGCTCACACCCCAAGAACAGATTCTCCAAACGGAGCGTGCCATCGAAAACAAAGTCAAGGATGACGATGACCAGTACGCATATACTTCGGTCTAGATCGAGTGTTCCTAAATTGGAGCAGGCGTGTAATGGCTCCAGTCAATCTCAAGTTTGACGAGAGGCCACAAGAACCACCAGGTACGTATTCAAGCTTATCCTCCTATGATCCTGTTTCACTTCCTGCTCAGCAGTTGCTGTCGATCCGAGCACTTTGTGTCCGCTTTGTGACAAGCCTTTCCCGCGGCATCCGTCGCACAGGCTCTGCCAAATGCTGCACGAGGTCAAATTGATATCGAAACCAGATCCCCGTCCCGAGAATAGCATGGGCCTTCTACTCCCGACCATTCAGAGAGCGCCGTTCTGTGCACGCCACCAGTTCGAACGGGACGAGATCCCCAAGGCCCTGTACGCAAACTGGAAGACGGAGATTGATTTCAAAGACGTAGAAAGGCGTCTCGAGACCTTTCAAACGAAATTCGATGGCCTCGTTAACGATCACGCTCCCGGGGGTGCTCGTGAGCTCAGTGTGTTTTGGTCCAAGGCGATGAGCAATGCCGCAGAAAATTCCCTGAAATCCCAGGGCCTTGCCGGCAACATGACAACTTTCAAGTCCGGTCAGGTGGGATAGTAAGTCTTCCGGTTTCCCTTATTCAGTTTTTTCCATACTTACGACCTTCCCTAGTTACGGCGAACAAGGTCTCCGGGTCATCGACAAGGTCCTTAGGCGTATCGTAACAATCCCCGAAGGCTCGACCAATCCTCTCACGGAGCAACAGTTCATCGCGTTCGTACTCACCCCCGAAGCGGCTGTCTTCCTGATCGCAGCCGATCTCAACATGAACCGGGACGATGCGGTCAGGACCATGTACGACAGTAGTACCTATGGTAAT